AGCCTCCTGAGTAGCTGGGATTACAGGCACGTGCCACTATGCCCAGCTAATTTTTTGTATTTTTAGTAGAGACGGGGTTTCACCATGTTGACCAGGATGGTCTCGATCTCTTGACCTCATGATCCACCCACCTCAGACTCCCAAAGTGCTGGGATTACAGGCGTGAGCCACCGCACCCGGCAATATGGTCATTTTAACTATATTGATTCTTCCAATCCATGATTGTAGATTTTTTTATTTGTTTATGTCATCCACAATTTCTTTCACCAGTGTTTTGTAGTTGTCCTTGTAGAGATGTTTCACCTCCTTGGATACATGTATTTCTAGGTATTTGATTTTTTCCTGGCTATCATAAATGGGATTGAGTTTGATTTGGTTCTCAGATTGAACATTATTGATATACAGAAGTGCTACTGATTTTTATGTGCTGATTTTGTATCCTGAAGCTTGTTGAAGTCATTTTCAGGTCTATGAGTCTTTTGGAGGAGTCTTTATGGTTTTCTGTAAGCAGTGAACAGAGATAATTCGATTTCCTTTTTTCCATTTTGGATCCCTTTTATTTATTTCTCCTGCCTCTTTGCTCTGGTTGGGAGTCCAGCACTATGTTGAATAGGAGTGGTGACAGTGGACATCCTTTTCTTGTTCCAGTTCTTAGAGGAAATGTTTACAACTTTCCATCATTCGGTATGATGTTGTCTGTGGGTTTGCCATATATGGTTCTTATTACTTTGATGTATATTCCTTTGATGCCTTATTGATTGAAGGTTTTCTTTTTTTTTTTTTTTTTTTTTTTTTTTGAGACAGTCTTGCTCTGTCTCCAGGCTCCAGGCTGGAGTGCAGTGGCACAATCTCGGCTCACTGCAATCTCCACCTCCTGGGTTCAAGCAATTCTCCTGCCTCAGCCTCCCAAGTAGCTGGGACTACAGGCATGCACCACCACACCCAGCTAGTTTTTGTATTTTTTAGTAGAGACGGGGTTTGACCATGTTGGCCAGGATGGTCTCGATCTCTTGACCTCGTGATCCACCCACCTCAGCCTCCCAAAGTGCTGGGATTACAGGCGTGAACCACCGCACCTGGAGGTTGAGGGGTTTTATTAAAAAACATGTTGAATTTTATCAAATGCTTTTTCAGCATCAGTTGAAATGATTGGTTTTTTTGTCCTGCACTTTGTTGATATGATGTCTCACATTAATTGACTAGCATATGTTGAACCGTCTTTGCATCCCTGGAATGAAGCCCACTTGACTGTGATGAATTATCTTTTGGATGTGCTGATAGATTCTGTTTGCTAATATTAGTTGAGAACTTTGGTATCTATGTTCATCGGGGATATTGGCCTACAGTCTTTTTGTTGTTGTTGTACCCTTGCCTCATTTTGGTATCAGGGATTCATAGTGGATTTGCAGCATGAGTTTGGGAAGAACGTCTCCTCCCCAGTTTTTTGTAAGAGTTTCAGTAAGATTTGTACCAGCTCGTCTCTGTATGTTTGATAAAATTCAGCTGTAAATTAGTGTGATCTTGGGCTTTTTTTTTTTTAAAAAGATTTGTAGGTACTAATTTGATTTCATAACTCATTATTGGTATGTTCAGAATTTCTTTCTGGTTCAATCTGGGGAGGTTGTATGGTTCCAGGAATTTGTTCATTCCCTCTAGTTTTCTAGTTTATGCACATAGAGCTATTCTTTTTAGTGATCTCTGCTGATCTTTTTATTTCTGTGGTATCAGTTTTAATGTCATTTTATCATGTCTAATCGTACTTATTTGAATCTTCTCCTTTTGTTGGTTAATCTAGCTAGTAGTCTTTCAATATTATTTACTTTCTCAAATAACCAACTTTTTATCTCATTTATCTTTCATATCATTTTTACGCTCAATTGCATTTAGTTCTGCTCTAATCTTTGTTATTTATTCGCTAGCTTTCGGTTTGTTCTTGTTTTTCTAGCTTCTTGTGTTTATTTGGGATCTTTCTGTCTTTTTTGTGTTCACTAGAACCTTTCCTCTTAGCTTGCTATATCCCAGAGATTTTGGTTTGTTGTGTCTGCATCTTCTTTTGTTTCAAATAATTTGTTAATTGTGCCAATATTTCATTGTTTACTTAGAGTTCTTCAGGAGAAAGTGGTTCAGTTCCATGTACTTGTGTAGTTTCAATAGTTCCTCTTGGTGTTGTTTCTAATTTTATTCTGCTGTGGTCTGAGAAGATACTTGGTATGATTTCATTTTTTAAAAATTTATTGAGACTTGCTTTATAGCCAAGCATATGGTTCATTTTAGAGGCTGTTTCATGAGCAGATGAGAAGAATGTATATCCTACAGTAGTTGCATAGAATGTTCTTTAAATATGTATTAAATCCATTTTATCTATAGTCTAGTTTAAGTTCAGAGTTTCTTTTTTTTTTTTTTTTTTTTTTGCTGAGGTAAACTTTTATTTCTTGGCTGATGACTTCCACACCCATGCTACTCCTGGCACCTTCTACCCTGCCCAAGCAGTGGCAGCCCAGTCCCAAAGGTGCCTGCCATGGTCACAGGGGTTGGGGAGTCACTTCACATTCCAGGCTGGAGGAGTGAAAGGGCTTGGGGGTACTGCCCCCACACCACTGCCAGCCATGACTCACCAAAACCCCAAATCCTGCCTCCTGGTGGGAAGTGACAATGCCTCCTCCCAGCTCTCAACACCTGATGGGGTCATGACCAGACAGGGTAGGACCCAGACCCCCAGCCTCAGTTGGTAACGGTGGCCTCCAAGGCTGCCCCCTGTCCCGGTCACAACGCCAGCCACCATCATGGGGCAGCAGAGGTCTCTTCTGCTCCTTGGTCCTCAGCGACAGACAGAGCTTTCCACGCCAGACAGGACAGAGGCAGAGTCAGAAGCAGCAGCGGTGGCAGGGACGGAGCGGCCACCACGAGCACAGAGCTCTCCTGAAGTCAGGGCAAGCTGTCTGCCATGCGGCTCTGGGACCCGGCCACTAGGTGGGCGTAGGCGGCTGTGATACAGGTACTTGGACACCTTTGTGTCCTGATGTTAGCTGATACTTGTCTTTGGCTGCTTCCCGCTCCTTGGCATCAAAATACCAGACAGTGATGGCGTACCTGGTGGCATACGCTGGCTTCACCTTGTGGGGGTTCCACCGGTCAGACCAGAAAATGAGCAACTGGTCAGAGTGGCTCGATGTTGGCTACCACCAGCCGGCCCTCAGGGAAGATCTGCAGCAGGCCTCCATGCACCTTAACGCCCCAGTTCTGAGTCAGGTAATAGATACAGGTGATGTCACCATGGGGATTGTCAACGTGCCTTACGTACCGAGCCCGTTGCCTGGGAAACGCCACCACGGCCTTGGTGCGCCCATTGATGACGTAGCTGCCCGCCGCCCTGAGCAGTGGCGGATGACGGCGTCCACATGGGCCCTGAGGGCACCGATACTTCGGAGCCTGGCTCATGGCCTTCCACCCAGGCAATCTAGTCCCCACGGATGCTGCGCGGTGGGATCCCCCCCGGCTGACCAGCTGCCCATCTCGCAGGCGCCCACCCCGTTTGAGGGGGCTCCACCTCGGCCAGCACGCGGCCACCCAGTGCTGCCCCCAGGAAGCTGTCCTGGACGCAGATGCCGTAGTACCGCATGCAGGGCACGATATAGTCCAGGGCCAGGCGCTCAGGCGCACAGGGCAGCACCTCCTCCGTCAGCCCAGCGCTGGCCTCACCACTGCCACTGCTGCAGCCTCAGCTCATACCACCCTCCCACTGCTCTACCTCCTGGTTCTCTTGCCTGGCCCAGGGCCGCTTGCTGGGTGAAGGGGCATCCCCACTATCCTCGGCCCATTTCCGTTTGGGGGCTTCAGGCCGGGAATCCTGGGCTGCCAGTCACTGGCACCCCTTGGTGACCAGCGCGGCACCTTCACTCTGCAGCAGCCACAACTCACCACCATCCTGCCCACCAAAGCCCTCCCGAAGGGGGCTGGCAATGGCAGAGGTGGCTGTGGCTCTGGGGGTCCCACTCCCTGCCGAGGCCTCACTGGGCACTCCTGGACAGTGGTAGGAGGGGAGCAAGGGACAGGGCAGGTAACTCTCCACCCCCATCCTGGCCCGGCCAGGCTCCAAGGGCTCTGACGAAGACCCCGGTAACTGAGGGAGAGCCTGACTTAGGGGCTGCGGCTGGCACAGGCTGTCCCTGGCAGCAGTGTCTTCATCCCCCTGGCATGGAGGGCACCACCCGGGCCCATGGTGCCACCCTCCTCTGCCTCCACTTGATGCAGCTGGGGGCCACCGGGCCTGGCGTGGGGCAGGGTGAGGCAGGGCAAAGAGGGAGAGCTCTTCTTGTGCCCCAGGGATTGCTTGCCGTCCCTAAGGGCTTGGGAAGGAACCCTTCAGGGTGGCGAGCTTTTTCCTCCGGCCCTGGAGCCGCCTCTTTTGCCAGCCACCCTGTGCCGCACAGTGCACCATGCCCCCCAGAGTTTTTTTGTTGATTTTCTGCCTACTGATGTCAGTGAGGGATTGAAGTCTCCCACTATTATTGTATTGCTATCAGTATCTTTTCTTCGATATTGTGGTATTTTGTTTTTTGGTTTTTTTTTGAGATGGAGTTTGGCTCTTGTTACCCAGGCTGGAGCGCAATGGTGCGATCTCGGCTCACCGCAACCTCCGCCTCCTGGGTTCAGGCAATTCTCCTGCCTCAGCCTCCTGAGTAGCTGGGATTACAGGCACACACCACCATGCCCAGCTAATTTTTTGTATTTTTAGTAGAGTTGGGGTTTCACCATGTTGACCAGGATGGTCTCGATCTCTTGGCCACATGATCCACCTGCCTTGGCCTCCCAAAGTGCTGGGACTACAGGCTTGAGCCACCGCGCCTGGCCATGATCTTGTGGTATTTGTTTTATGAATCTGGGTGCTCCAGTGTTGGTTGCATATATGCTTAGGACAGTTAAATCTTCTTGTTGTATTGAACTCTTTGTCATTACATGCTCTTCTATTTTTTCTTTTTATTTTCTTTTAAATTAAAAAAAAAAACTACTGTTGGTTTAAAGTCTGTATTATCTGATATGGAAATGGCTACTCCTGCATACTTTTGTTTTCCATTTTCATTATATATCTTTTTTCATCCATTTACCTTGAGTCTGGAGGATGTCTCTAGCCAGTAGGTGGTCTCTTATAAGCAGCAGGCAGTTAGGCCTTGCTTTTTATCCAATGTGCCACTCTGTGTGTCTTAGGTGGAGCTTTTAAGCCCATTTACATTTAAGGTTAATATTGATACGTGAGGTTTTATTCCCATTATATTGTCGTTAGCTAGTTGTTTCGGAGTTTCTATTGCATAGTTTCTTTACGGCAATGGGAGCTCTGTACTTAAGGGTCCTTTTATGATAACTATTGTCCTTTCTTTGCTATATTTAGAAGTCCTTTAAGCATTTTTTTTTTTTTAGAGGTGACAAATTCTCTTAGATTTGCTTGTCTGGGAAAGAATTTGTTTTTCTTAATTTATGAAGCTTAGTTCAACAGTATACAAAATTTTGGGCTGCATTTTTTTAATTATTATTTAGGGAAGCTAAAAATAGCCCCCCAGTCTCTGCTGGCTCGTAGGGATTCTCGTGAGAAGTTTGTTATTAGTCTGACAGGTTTTCCTTTATAGATGATTTGACCCCTTTTCTCTAGCTGCTTTTATGATTTTTATTTTTTTAGTGTTGACCTTGGATAGTCCAATAGTTACATGCCTTTGTATAGTGTTTTGCAGGTATTCTGACTTTCTTGTATCTAGAAGTTTACTTCTCTGGTAAGATTTAATAATTTTTTCTGAATTATTCCCTTAAATATGCTTTCTAGGTTGCTTACTTTTTCTTCTTCTCTCCCAAGAATGACTATAAGTCACAGCTTTGGTTTGCTTTACATAATCCCATATTTCTTGAAGGCTTTGTTCATTTTTCAAAAAGCTCCTTTCTTTATTTTTAACCAGGCTAATTTGAAAGAGCAGCCTGCAAGCTCTGAAATTCTTCCTTCTGCTTGATTTAATCTATTATTAAAGCTTTCAAATCTATTTTGAAATTCTTTTTATTTTCCTTCGAAGTCTCGCTCTGTCACCCAGGCTGGAGTGCAGTGGCATGATCTTGGCTCACTGTAACCTCTGCCTCCCGGGTTCAAGCGATTCTCCTGCCTTCCAAGTAGCTGGGACTACAGGCACCTACCACCGTGCCCAGCTAATTTTTGTATTTTTAGTAGAGATGGGGTTTCACCATAGTGGCCAGGCTGGTCTCAAACTCCTGAACTTGTGATCCACCCACCTCAACCTCCCAAAGTGCTGGGATTATAGGCGTGAGCCACCACACCTTGCTCCTCTATTTTGAAGTTCTTTAAGCAAATTTTTCTTAGAGAAATCAATGTCTTTCTTTATCTCCTGGATCACTTTCCTGGTTTCTTTGTGTTGTTTTTCAGCCTCTCTTGGATCTTGGTGAGCTTCCTTGCAATTTATACTTTGTACTCTTTATCTGTCATTTCTGAGTTTTCATCTTGGTTAAGGTCTATTGATCCTTAGGTGGTGTCACAGGATTCAGGTTCTTTGTGGTGCCAGAATTCTTACTCTGGTTTCTTCCCATTTGGAAAAGCTGACGCTCCTTTTTTTTTTTTTTGAGATGGAGTCTCGCACTGTCACTCAGGCTGGCGTGCAGTGGTATAATTTGGCTCACTGCAACCTCTACCTCCTGAGTTCAAGAGATTCTGCTGCCTCAGCTTCCCAAGTAGCTGGGATTACAGGCACCCACCACCATGCCCAGTTAATTTTTTGTATTTTTAATAGAGACAGGGTTTCACTATGTTGGCCCAGCTGGTCTCAAACCCCTGACCTCATGATCTGCCCGCCTGGATCTCCCAAAGTGCTGGAATTACAGGTATGAGCCACCACACCCGGCCAACACTCCTTATTTTTAAATTTTATTTTTATTTTGATGGGAGTTTTTTAAACTATTTTTCCTTTTTTGGGGGGGTGTGACTGTGATATGTAGGGTAGGGTCTTTTGGCTTTGCTTCTATACATAGCCAGGTGCCCTTTTCTCTGCAGGTTTTATATTGGACTGTGCAGTTTGACCTGCAGGCCAGTAGATGGTGCGTATGGGTAATAGCCAACTGGGGCACAAGCAGACAGGTGTGTACTCGATATTTCTTTACTGTGAGGTGCTCTCTGTTGCCTATAGTGTTGGGCTGGAAAATGCAATGCCTGGTTCCCTGAGCTTCCTGTTTAGCAGGGATTGGGGAGACACAGCTGGACTCCCTGGCTTGCCCATGAATATGCCGGTGATGAGCAGACACCAGCCCTGACAGGAGTCGCTAAAGGAGCTCCTTGTGAAATGCACTGAGGTCTCTGCAGGTGTTGGGGGAGTGAGAGGCTGCATCAGCTCCACATCCTAGTTAGACAACAGTGTGCTCTGTTTCCCTGTTAAGCCCCAGTCCCAGGGCGCATGACTCGGAGCTCAGATGTACATCGTTGTCTACCTCCAGGCCACAGTGTAGCTGAGAGTCACAGATAACACCTGTCCCATGGCTCTCCACAGGAGTGGTTTCAGGACAGAACCTCTCCACTCAGCCCAGTACAGACGCTTTATGGTCCAGCTATTCTCTGATGTGGTAATGCTGCTGCTTCACGTAGAGAGGGCGAAGGGCTTCACCTTTGGGCTAATGTAAAATAGATGTCAGTTGTGGTGGTGTTGGCTGGTTGAGTTGCCCTAAGCTCAGGTCCTGGTGGGAGTGATCAGTGCCAAGGGTGTTGGATAATTCCACAATCCCTACATTTTCTCACTTCATTAATTCCAAGCTAACCACATCTTTATTCCTTAAAAAATGCCAAGTTTTTTTAATATGAAAAAACTTGGTATGTCTGCACCTTCTGTTTCATCTGTGTGAAATAATCTTCCTCCAGATTTCCACATGGCCTTCTCATTTATTTCATTTGGGTCTTCATTTAAAAATTACCAATATCTGGGCCGGCGCGGTGGCTCATGCCTATAATCCCAGCACTTTGGGAGGTCGAGGCGGGTGGATCACGAGGTCAAGAGATCGAGACCATCCTGGTCAACAAGGCAAAACCCCATCTCTACTAAAAATACAAAAATCAGCTGGGCATGGTGGTGTGCGCTTGTAGTCCCAGCTACTCGGGAGGCTGAGGCAGGAGAATTGCTTGAACCCAGGAGGTGGAGGTTGTGGTGAGCCAAGATCCTGCCATAGCACTGCGGCCTGGGTAACAACAGCGAAACTCCATCTCAAAAAAAAAAAAAAAAATTACCAATATCCTTGGCAAGTCCATCTAAAATAGGATTCACTGCTTCCCACACTCTAGCCTTTTACTCTGATTTACTTTCTTTTACTGGACTTTACTTGGCTTTACTTTGGTTTGCTACAATGTCATGGAGGTTGATATCAAATCATAACTTAGCTGATACAATTTCTGTTGCGCCTCCAACTGTAATAAGAAAAAAAAAGCCTAAACTTGATAGTACAGCTAGTGACCATTTGCTATTTTCTCTGTGAAAGTTTGTTAATCAGCCAAATAATTTTACTCCTATAAGAATAGCAAGAGTTATAGTGGCTCGTATAAAATATGCTCATGTATCAACGTCCATTTCTACTGTAAATATATAATGAGCTTTGGGTTAGGTCTGCTTGCATTGCTACAAAAGAATACCTGAGGCTGTGTAATTTATAAAGAAAAGGGGTTAAATTGACTTAGAGTTCTACAGGCTGTGCATGAAGCATAGTGCCAGCATCTGCTTCTGATGAGGGCTGCAGGAAGCTGACAATCACAGTGGAGAGCAAAGGGGAGACAGTGTGCCACGTGGTGAGAGTGGCAGAAGAGAGATGCCAGACTTCTTTAAACAACAAGCTCTTGTGTGAACCAACAGGGTGAGAACTCATTACTTCATGAGGGATCTGCTCACATGACCCAAACACCTCCAAATAATACAGGAGTAATTAAGAAGTAATTTTTAGCCAGGTACAGTGGCTCACGCCTGTAATCCCAGCACTTTGGGAGGCCAAGGCGGGTGGATCACCAAGGTTGGAAGTTCCAGACCAGCCTGACCAATATGGAGAAACCCCATCTCTACTACTAAAAATACAAAATTAGCCAGGGGTGGTGGCATATGCCTGTAATCCCAGGTACTCGTGAGACTGAGGCAGGAGAATATCTTGAATCCCGGAGGCGAGATTGCGGTGAGCCGACATCATGCCATTGCACTCCAGCTTGGGCAACGAGAGCAAAACTCTATCTCAAAAAAAAAAAAAAGGTGCCCGGGCACGGTGGCTCACACTTATAATCCCAGCACTTTGGGAGGCCGAGGTGGGTGGATCATGAGGTCAAGAGATCGATACCATCCTGGTCAATATGGTAAAACCCCATCTCTACTAAAAATACAAAAATTAGCTGGGCATGGTGGCGCGTGCCTGTAGTTCCAGCTACTCAGGAGGCTGAGGCAGGAGAATTGCTTGAACCCAGGAGGCAGAGGTTGCGGTGAGCCGAGATGGCGCCACTGCACTCCAGCCTGGGTAACAACAGCGAAACTCTGTCTGAAATAAAAAAAGATAGGAAAAGAAATGTTTAGGCAGCTAGAAAGGGTAAAGGTTCTCAGTGGAAATTTTCCTGCAGTAGGAAGCAACCCCCAAACCATTTCTTTTCTAACAGAAAGGAGCTTGAAACACCAGGCCAGCAAGTTTGATATGCAAACGCCAAGGGTTAGATACTAGATCCACCCAACACGGCCAACATGGCAAGTACCGCCCTCTTTTCCTTGTCACCACATGTGCCAGTGTCATGGCTATTTCCAGATAACTCACATGTATTCAGGATATTATGGTGGCCCACATTTGCATATTAAAGGACTAAGGTGGGAGTGCCAGGTTTTTCACGGGCCACATGAATGATACATTTGATCAAACCAATCTCCTGGGCCCTATGCAAATTAGACACTGCCCCCTCCAGCCTCCTAATATGACCAACTATTTCTCCACCACACACGGGGTTTCTCTCTCGGAGCCCCCCTCCCTCTGCCTACTGGGGAGGTTCTTTCTTTCTTGCTTATTAAACTCTCCACTCCTTAAAACCAGTCCACATGTATCCATATCAGTTTAAATCAACGCGAGACCAAGGACCCTGCTGTTCCTCCATTTATAGGAGCCTTATCATTTTGGTGCATTGGCCAGGAATTTCATTCATTGGAGTGGTGACTATGGAGCAAACCTCAATGTCAAATCTGTCCTTTAATCTAAGGCCCTCTTCCTACTATCCTGTTGCAAAACTTTCCTTCTTTCTCTATCCACAGTCTCTTACTCTCTCTGTGTGCGGGGATTTTTACAGTTCAGGGAAACAGGTCTGTCTGGAAAGATGGGCAAACACAGCGGGCAGTAACTCAATAAGCTCTCTGTATGGTTTTGCTGATGATTGCTGGTATTTCTAAGCCAAGAGCGCCACCTAGTGGAAGTATAAATCCCCTTCAGGAGACACCTTTTTTTTTTTTTCTCCCCAGTGAAGTCAGAATTTTGCTTTAGTTGCCTGGGATGGAGTACAAAGGCGTGACCTTGGCTCACCACAACCACCGCCTTCCAGGTTCAAGCGATTCTCCTGCCTCAGCCTCCCGAGTTGCTGGGATTACAGGCATGCGCCACCACGCCCAGCTGACTGTATTTTTAGTGAAGAAGGGCTTTCTTCGTGTTGGTCAGGCTGGTCTTGAACTCCTGACCTCGTGATCCACCCGCCTCAGCCTTCCAAAGTGCTGGGATTATAAGGGTGAGCTACCACACCCGGCAGGAGGCACATTTTTTTAACGTGACACCGAGCTTCCTTTTACACCACTAGAAATCAGGCTCCAGGCTACTTCTGTGAACAGGAAAGTTCTGGCTTCCGCAGTTAGAAGTAATATGTCCTCGGCCGGGTGTGGTGGTTCATGTCTGTATTCCCAGCACTTTGGGAGGCGGAAGCGGGTGGCTCATGAGGCCAGGAGTTCGAGACCAGCCTGGCCAATATGATGAAAGCCCGTGTCTACTAAAAACACAAAAACTAGCTGGGCATGGTGGTGCACACCTGTAGTCCCAGCTGCTTGGGAGGCTGAGGCAGGAGAATTGCTTGAATCCTGGAAATGGAGGTCGCAGTGAGCTGAGATCGCACCACTGCAGTCCAGCCTGGGCAACAGAGTGAGACTTTGTCTTTAAAAAAAAATTTTTTTTTAAGGAATAAGCCCTCTGCTGCCAAATTTTAGTCTTGATATTGTCCCATAAGCAGGAAAATGGCTATCCAGTTCCTACTTTCTTTAAAGACACCTAGTCTGTTTCCTGTTAAAATGGTATTTAAATAGTAAGGAGATTTTAACTTTGGAAGTTAACCAGAACCATTTTTTTGAGGGTAAATGCTTTCGCACAAGCCATAATAGCAAACAGTCTAGCACTCTGCCTCCATTAAAGGAGATTTGCCCAAAGACAACAGGGTCTCTCCGAGGATCCATTTTTCAGGGAGCCAGGCAGATCACATAGGTCTAGAAAGTCAAAGGGAATCACACAAGGCAGATGAGCTAAGGTTGCGTGGGAAAAGCGTGGTTAGTCCCATCATGTAGTTCATCCGGTTGGTCCCATGGCTTGGAGGATTGTGCTTACAACTATGGGTGGTACATTTAACAGGGTGCCAGGTCCCAGGAACCAGGAAAGTAAAACAGGAGGGTGCTCCACTGTCTTACTTTCCATCCTGGGTCATACAGAAAGGAAGGAGACTGAAAGAACACTTTTATTCTTGCTTCTCTTTCTAGATGGGTAACAGGTTATCTTCCGCTGGCACCCCTCTGGGGTGCACCACTCTGAAACACTGAAACTTTTCTAACCTCAGGACATTAAAGAGAAGAGCAACTCATTTTCTTTTGTACAGGAGCATGGCATTTTTACTAAAACTTTGCACACATTGTAAGATCAACCCAGCTCTTTTAGCAATCATATGGAGCAGGCGTACAGAGAATAGTCCCCCAAAATTAAAAAAGCAACTTACATCTTTGGGAGACTGAGGCAGGTAGATCACCTGAGGTTGGGAGTTCAAGACCAGCCTGACCAACATGAAGAAACCCCGTCTCTACTAAAAGGACAAAAAAAAAAAAAAGTCAGACCAGCGTGGTGGCACATGCCTATAATCCCAGCTACTTGGGAGGCTGAGGCAGGAGAATCGCTTGAACCTGGGAGGCAAAGGTTGCAGTGAGCCGAGATTGTGCTGTTGCACTCCAGCCTGGGCAACAAGAACAAAACTCCATCAAAAAAAAAAAAAAGAAAGAAAGAAAGAAGCAACTTCCAAGGGAACCATCTGAAGATGCCCCTTATTTGCGGCCTCTTCAAGTTCCTTTCTCATTACAGGATCTTAGGCAAATAAAGGGAGACTTAGGCCAATTTTCTGACAGCCCTGATAGATATATGAAGGCTTTCCAAAAGTTAACTCAGGTACTTCACCTCCTAAACAAGACCCTCACCACAGCTGAAAAGCAGGCAGCTCTGATTTTGGAGATGAGCAGTGTATCTCCTATCACACACCAAAAGGGAAGAAAGCAGATAAGGAAAGAGAAGAAACAGCAGAAATGCCATTCTCAATTGGGAGGAAAAGCACTTCCCCTTGAAAACCCTAATCAGGACCCCAATAACTCAGGAGATGAATGGAAAAGGACGTACTCTTTAAAGTGTGCATTAGAGGGCCTAAGGAAAACCAGGGCCAAACCTCTCAATTACTCTAAACTTCCATGATAAATGAAAACCCAAATGAGAATCCTGTAGCCTTTACGAAAGGACTGAGAGGCACTAATAGAACACCCCTCCTTATCCCGATTCAGTCAAGGGACAGCTCATCCTAAAGGACAAGCTAGCCGGGCGCGGTGGCTCATGCCTATAATCCCAGCACTTTGGGAGGCTGAGGTGGGTGGATCACGAGGTCAAGAGATCGAGACCATCCTGGTCAACATGGTGAAACCCTGTCTCTACTAAAAATACAAAAATTAGCTGGGCATGGTGGTGAGTGCCTGTAGTCTCAGCTACTCGGGAGGCTGAGGCAGGAAAATTCCTTGAACCCAGAAGGCAGAGGTTGTGGTGAGCCGAGATCATGCCATTGCACTCCAGTCTGGGTAACAACAGCGAAACTCCGTCTCAAAAAAAAAAAAAGGACAAGCTTATTACACAAGCAGCTTCTGATATTAAAAGGAAGCTATAAAAGCAAGCTATAGGACCACATAGCACCTTAGAGAACCTCCTAAACGTGGCCACTTTGGTCTTTTCTAATAGGGACCAGGACAAGGCCCAAAAGAGAGAATGGTCAGAAGAAGAGGCTTCTAGCAGCATCTGCTAGTTGCTATTAGTGGGGCAGACCAGGGCATTTAAAGAAAGAATGCCCAGGCCGGTCGCGGTGGCTCACACCTATAATCCCAGCACTTTGGGAGACTGAGGCAGGTGGATCACGAGGTCAAGAGATCGAGACCATCCTGGTCAACATAGTGAAACCCCATCTCTACTAAAAATACAAAAGAATTAGCTGGGCATGGTGGCTCGTGCCTGTAGTCCCAGCTACTTGGGAGGCTGAGGCAGGAGAATTGCTTGAACCCGGGAGGCGGAGGTTGCGGTGAGCCAAGATCACGCCATTGCATTCCAGCCTGGGTAACAAGAGCGAAACTCTGTCTCAAAACAAAAAAGAAAGAAAGAATGCCCATAGAACAAGACGAAGCCACCTCAACCCATCCATCTGTGGCGGAGACCACAAAGGTGGAGGTCACTGGGCTCAGAACCAGCTTCACAAATAATCCAGCAGGACTGATGGGTCCCGGGGCTCAAACTCTGGCTCCAGCAGCTCAAACCGCCATTATAGCACAGGAGCCCCGGGTGATTCTGGAAATTAAAGGAAGGAAAGTAGACCTCCTTCTAAACACCAGAGCCAGTCTCTCTTTTTTCTCCTTTCTAATCCAGGCCTACCCTCTCCTTTCTAATCCAGGCTTCCCCTACCAGAAGTTTTTCTCGGGAAAAACTCTAATCTAATCCACTATTTTTCTCAACCTTAGTTGACACGTGCTTCCAAGCCATTGTCATGGCAGCTCTACTAGTCAGAAAAGCCTCCAAGTTAACCCTAGGAAATAATTTAACTGTTCACACTCCACATAATGTGGCTGGATTACTGTCCTCTAGGGGGAGCTCTTAGCCAACAAACAGCCAGTAAAGCAAGAAGTACATAAGGCAGGATAAGCAGTAGCCACTCTAAAGAATGTCTCAGGCACAGCGCTCAATTAGCTGAGCTAATAGCTCTTAAATGAACACTTGGATTAAGCAAGAGAAAGGTAGCTAACATTTATACTAACTCCAAGTATGCTTTCTTGGTTCTCCACATTTACGCTGCCACTTGAAAGACATTTTCTTGCCACTATTGGATCTCCTATAAAAATATCGCCAGGAAATTAGCAGGTTATTATCCTCAGTTTTTCTTCCACAAGAAATAGCAGGAATGCATCCTAAGGAACATCAAAAGGGAACAAATGAGGGGCCAAAGGAAATAGGTTAGCTTATCAGGCAGTTAAGAGAGAGACAAGGAAGCCTCGAGGCATTAAGGCACTTCAAGCTTCTTCTAATCTAGGAAGGTTCCCTAAGGAAAATTAAACCTCAGTATTCCCCTGCAGAAATAAAATAGGCCACTTCTCGAGCGCATACTTCCCAGCACTCAGGAAGGCTACAGTCAGAGGATGGCAAACTCCATCTGCCATCAGGAAAGGAGATGTATCAGTGTGCTCAGAGATTGTTTTCAGGCAGGAAACTTCTAAATTGGTTAAGCATGTAACCTTTCCAGCTCACTTGCAACGTGAATTAACACAACTAGCAGAAGCCCAACCCCCAGGAAACAGAACCACCTTTATTTAACCCGGGAAATTTGGTATTAGTGAAAATTCTCATCTCTGTCTCCTTCCCTAAGCAAAGCTGGCAAAGGCCCTACGCTGTTCTTTCCCCTTGTCAGTAAAAGTTACAGGAATCAACTCCTGGATACATCACACTCAAGTCAGAGCCTGAGGAGCTGAGGGAGCAACTCCTAACAGCCCAGAAGAACGTCCTGAATATCAATGAGGAGAAATAGACGACTTTAAGCTGAAAATCACAAAGTAACTGAGTGAGGGCTCCTCCCTCTATACTTTTTATTATTTCTGCTCTTTCCTCTCAAAAGCTGCCACCAAATATTAAAACTTCCTCTTAATGCATATTTGCAGTGAGATTTAATTATACATGAGACTGCATTTGTAACTTTATAGATCCCCAAAGGGGACTGTTATATCGTGACAAGTAAAGATTTAAACAACCATTATTTACTATGCCACTCTTGTGGGAATTGTTATAGTCAAGCTACTATTTGCAGTAGAACTATACACCATGGTACCTACGATGTGGAATTCTGGTTGTAAAATTCTAATTGCTGTAATATTTTGCCTGATTATCATCTATAGGATTAATAATTGCAGGATTTAGTTAAGGTTATTTTGCTTATAACAGGAGTCATAGTTATGGATAAGAAGCAAGCATAGCCAGGCACGTTGGCTCAAGCCTATAATCCCAGCACTTTGGGAGGCCGAGGTGGGTGGATCACAAGGTCAAGAGATCAAGACCATCCTGGTCAATGAGGTGAAACCCCGTCTCTACTAAAAATACAAAAATTAGCTGGGCATGGTGGTGAGTGCCTGTAGTCCCAGCTACTCAGGAGACTGAGGCAGGAGAATTGCTTGAACCCAGAAGGCAGAGGTTGCGGTGAGCCGAGATTGTGCCATTGCACTCCAGCCTGGGTAACAACAGCGAAACTCTGTCTCAAAAAAAAAAAAAAATTTTTACTATCATTGAGTTTGACAGGACTTTTTACTGAAGATTGGTAATGGGATGCACTCTAAACTATTAAAAGAAGGTTATAAAGAAAGAGATTTTATGTAAGGAAATATTTTGTATGGTAAATTCTTTTCCTAAAATGAAATCATTTGTTGTTTGGTGGCTCACACCTGTAATCCCAGCACTTTGGGAGGCCGAGACAGGCAGATCACAAAGTCAGGAATTTGAGACCAACCTGGCCAATATGGTGAAACCCTGTCTCTAATTAAAAAAATAAAATAAAAAGAAATTATTGGTTGTTTAAAGGAAGGATATTTAAGAGAAGTCAGAAAGTTTGAGTATGTTGTAAGAGGGTCTGTGAAAATCACAGAAGAATTTATTAATTAAAAGAAAGAAATTGTCAAGATTAATGCTAAAGTTATTTTAGCCACCCAATATTATATTTCTCCCAATCATATTGCAACTCATAAAAATGACCTATGCTTAAAATTATTCTCTGATGGCCAGTCAGGGGGAAAATGTATGCTTTTCTCAAGGAAAATGTTACTTTTATATTAACGTCTCTGGGGATGTACAACGACATCTAGTGAAAGAAACTGGTATTGCAATCCATTGGTGTAACCAGCATCAAACTCAGTTTGGTCTATAGGACCCCCACCAACGGTGGTCATCTTAATACTCATACTCTAGCTCTGTATTTTAAATCTTCTTGTAAAAATTATCTCTCTTCACCGAGAAGCAACCAAACTCCAAACGGTGCTGTGAGCAGAGCGACACACGGACACACCATTCGTCCCAAAACCCTTAGATCAACCTCAGGAAGAGGACCAACTAACTGATTAAGTAAGTGATGATTTTTTATATTGAGATCTAGTTTGTGGTGATATATTAATAATTGTTGTGATAAAATTAATAGCACCTAACATTGATGAAATACCTGCTAAGTGTAATTAGAAAATGGTTTGATTGACCAAGCGCTGTGGCTCACGCCTGTAATCCTAGCACTTTGGGATATCGAGGTGGTGGATCACCTGAGGTCAGGAGTTCAAGACCAGCCTGGCCATCATGGTGAAACCCCATCTTTAAAAAAAAGAAAATGGTTTGATTTACAAAGGCTCCAGCCTGGGCTGAATTTCCAGCTAAAAGTGATGTTTTAAAGCTTTAAAATGATTCTACTTCCATAGTTTGCAACATGAGTTATGTATGTTTTGCTGTGATAAGAACGTGGATTTTAATTCCCCCTCCCTGTAGTAGTGTTATGTCACACCTCATTAGACCACATATGTGAGTAACTGACCTCAACTACTAGACTCCAAAATACATATAAACCCAAGATTTTGACAGACACTTTGAGAGCTCAGACTGTGGCAAACCCCTACCATGTTAGCCTTTGTGCTCATCTCTGAAACCTCATTCTGCCAACACACAGCCCACGGGTGCTGAGGGACCTAAGGCCTCATTTGTCTCTCTGAGAAGATTCCACGCAAAGGGACATCTTAAACTTCGGTTAGATTTTACTTTCCACAGAGGCCTGCTTCCATCCTAATGGAGCAACTAGACTTTAATAATTGGATTCTGTCAAAATTGGAACTCACTGTGTGGCTAATGTACCTTGCCTATGGGGTGTATTTCCTGTGAGATTTGTTCTCGTTCTCCCCCTCTTTAGGTGTTGTAAAATAAAAAATATATAAAAAATAAAAAATATTTTTTATGGCAATAAACCCTATGATTCATGAAATCATACTGTTTTTTATTGTTTGTTGGTTTTTTTGAGACGGAGTATCGCTCTGTAGCCCAGGCTGGAGTGCACTGGCATGATCTTGGTTCACTGCAACCTCCACCTCCCCAGTCCCAGTTCAATTTTCCTGCCTCAGCCTCCTGAGTAGCTGGGATTACAGAAATGCACCACCATGCCCAGCCAATTTTTGTATTTTTAGTAGAGACAGAGTTTCACCATGTTGGCTAGGCTGGTCTTGAACTCCTGACCTCAATTGATCTACACACCTCGACCTCCCAAAGTGCTGGGATTCCAGGTGTGAGCCACTGCGACTGGCCTCATTAGTAGATTTAATATTATTGTAAAGGAGTTATAAGTTATTCAGCTTATATGAGTAATTCATGAGTAGGCTGAGTTTTTTGTAATTGTGTCTGACTTAGCCCTCCTTATCCTCCTACTAAAAAAATGATAATATAGCAGCAGTTAATATTACGTTTAAGTCTGAGAAAGAAAATGAATGTTTTATCTGAGGAATGTGAACACCTTTAAATTATCAAGCCCAAAGGAACATTTAAAATGTGACAACCATCACATCTCACTCTCTGCTTGAGCTAATTACCTCTTAAAGCCCCTTGCTGCATGGGCTGTAGACTGATGCCGAGCAGCCACAAAATGCCCTGTGCTGGACACCATGTGTAGCCACTCACTAACCAATATTATTTCAGTAAACCAATGAGAATTCCTATCAGAAAACTTCTGCAGGCATGTCATTCAATGTCTCTGCAGGTCTCTGAAGCTCTCACAAAGAGGGTAGCTCCTCTCTGCAGCTGGTCATCCAATCCTCTATAAATTATCTATAAATCTTACGATATTCTAACTAAGAAACAAAAATAAATGCTACTACTTAGTCTTTTGTTTTTCTGTAGCTGTGTCTTCAGCAGTTGGTTCCATGTCATTATTTGTCCTGAAAACAGAGAAAGCCCCTACGGGGAAAACCCATCTTGGATTTTCATGTCCTGAGTTTCAAATTTTTGTGTCTAAGTCCCCTCTTACTCTGAATCATGGCTGGCCTGCGTGACGAATAGAATACTGCAAAAGAAATAAGGTGTGATTCCAAGATGAAGCCATTAAAGTCATGGAAATTTCCACCTTGGTCTCTCTTAGATCACTTGCCCTGGGCGAGATATGGTGGTGGCTCACACCGGTAATCCCAGCACTTTGTGAGGCCAAGGCTGGTGGATCACTTGAGTCCAGGACTTTGAGACCAGCCTGGGCAACATGGCAAAACTCCATCTCTATAAGAAATTCGGCTGGGCGCGGTGGCTCATGCCTGTAATCCCAGCACTTTAGGAGGCCAAGGCGGGCGGATCACGAAGTCAAGAGATCGAGACCATCCTGGCCAACACAGTGAAACCCCATCCCTACTAAAAATACAAAAAAAATTAGCCAGGCGTGCTGGCATGTGCCTGTGGTCCCAGCTACTCGAGAGGCTGAGGCAGAAGAATCACTTGAACCTGGGAGGTGGAAGTCGCAGTGAGCCAAGATTGCGCCACTGCACTCCAGCCTGATGACAGAGCAAGACTCCGTCTCAAAAAAAAAAAGAAAAGAAATTATTCAAAAGATAACTTAATCTGTAGGGTAGGAAGTCAATTCCCATGTCTTGTTTATTTAAGCAACCCTGTTGAGAGGCCTACATGGCAAGAAACTGAAACCTTCTACCAGCCGCTAGCACGAACTTACCGGTCATCTGAGCCCGCCACCTAGGCCTCATGCTCCAGCCTTCAAATGACTGCAGCCCTGGCTGCCATCTTGACTGCAACCTCCTAGGGGACCGGAGACAGGAACACCAGATAAGCTGCTTCTAAATTCCTTCCCCACAGAAACTGTGAGAGATAACATATTTATTGTTGGTTTAAGCTACAGAGTTTTGGGGTACCTTGTGAACATTTCAGATTCTAAATGGCATTCACCCTTTAGTGGGTCATCATTGCTTGTTCTTGAATCAGGACACACATGGAATCACTCTGTTCATCTCCAAGTCACAGAAGGCTGGATCAGCCCTGTAGCTAGAAGGATGTGTCGTGGAATCATTTGGTAATGGCAGTTTTGAAGATGAAGTCTGAAAAATGTAAGTCGATTTTGCCGTCTTCTTGAAATCTTTAAACAAGGTGGAAGACCCTGGAATATAAAAGGATTATATTTAATACTTAGGATAAATATTTTAATTAATACTATTATCATCACAAACATTTGTAAATGTCAATCGGAAGACGATTTAACTACTTCTCTTTTTTTGAGACAGGGTCTTGCTCTGGACTCATTGCATTCACCCAGGCTGGAGCGCAGTGGCACAGTCACAGCTCACTGCAGCCTCAACCTCCTGGGCTCAAACAATTCTCCCACCTCAGCCTTCCAAGTAGCTGGGACTACAGGCGTGCATCACGACACCCAGCTAAATGTTTTGTGTTTTTTGTTGAGACATGGTTTCACCATGTTGCCCAGGCTGGTCTCCAACTCCTGGGCTCTAATCATCCACCCGCCTCTGCCTCCCAAAGTGCTGGGATCACAGGCATGAGCCATCGCACCTGGCCTGAACTACAACTTTCAAGAGAATCCAAGCCAGGCGTGGTGGCTCACACCTGTAATCCCAGCACTTTGGGAGGCCAAGACAGGTGAATCACAAAGTCAAGAAATCGAGACCATCCTGGCCACGATGGTGAAACCCCATCTCTACTAAAAATACAAAAATTAGCTGGACATGGTGGCGCGTGCCTGTGGTCCCAGCTACTCAGGAAGCTGAGGCAGGAGAATTGCTTGAACCCAGGAGGCAAAGGTTGCGGTGAGCCAAGATTGCGCCACTGCACTCCAGCCTGGTGCCTGGCAACAGAGCAAGCAAGACTCTGTCTCAAAAAAAAAAAAAAAGAGAGAACTCAATGGAACATATACATTTTCTTCAATAAGATTACACATGCTAATAAGGGAAAGGGGAACATCTGAAATACAGTAGAGCCAATATGTGTTGTGGTAACGAGCAATAATAATGATAAAGCCAGACACGATGCCACATGCATGTGGTTCTAGCCACACAGGAGGTTGAGGTCAGAGGATTGCTTGAGGCCAGGAATTTAGAGTTTGAGGCTGTGTTATGCTGTGAGGGTGCCTGTGAATAGCCACCACACCCCAGCCTAGGCAATGTAGCCAGACCCTGTGGGTTAAAAGATAATAATAATGGTCAAGTGCAGTGCCTCACACCTGTAATCCCAGCACTTTGGGAAGCCAAGGCAGGTGGATCGCCTGAGGTCAGGAGTTCAAGACCAGCCTGGCCAACATGGTGAAACCCCATCTCTACTAAAAATACAAAAAATTAGCTGGGCATGGTGGTGGGCACCTATAATCCCAGCTACTCAAGAGGCCGAGGCAGGAGAATCACTTGAACCCAAGAGGCTGAGGTTGCAGTGAGCCAAGATCACGCCGTTGCACTCCAGCCTAGGCAACAAGAGTAAAACTCCATCTCAAAATGATAATAATAATAAAATAAGAATAAAAAATAATAAAATGTAATTAATATGGGGGCCACAAATATCTTAGATCAGTTTATCCAAATTCCCTTCTCCCACTTACTTCCCACAAGCAGGTTATCTTGTTCTTAGGTTTAGGTACTGTTTGTTTGTTTGATGCATAATTTTCTTTTTTTCTTTTTTTCTTTTTTTTTTTTTTGAGACAGAGTCTTGCTGTGTCACCAGGCTGGAGTGCAGTGGCACAATCTTGGCTCACTGCAACCTCCACCTCCCGGGTTCAAGCAATTCTCCTGCCTCGGCCTCCCGCGTAGCTGGGACTAATTTTTATATTGTTTAGTAGAGACGGGGTTTCAGCATGTTGGCCAAGATGGTCTCGATCTCTTGACCTCATGATCCGCCCGCCTTGGCCTCCCAAAGTGCTGGGATTACAGGTGTGAGCCACCGCAACTGGCCACATAATTTTCTTTTTTTTAGAGCTGGGATCTCACGACATTGGCCAGGCTGGTCTCAGGCTCCTGGCCTCAAGCAATCCTCCCATCTCAGCCTCCCAAAATGCATGAATTACAGGCATGAGCCACTGCATCCAGCTGTTTTTTGAAACAGGGTCTTGCTATACCACACAGGCTGGAGCATATTGTTATGATCATAGCTCACTGCAGCTTGCAAGTGATGGACTCAAGCTTCCTGAGTAGCTGGGACTACAGGTGTGCACCACCACACCTGGCTCTGAGATTTTTCTTAAGAGGAGCTAGCTAGTTAAATAACTAAATCTCAATATAAATGTCAAAAAGAAAGTAAGAATCAAAATTATCGGGAAAGAATTTTAAAGACGGATGTTTCTTTTAGCATCAGCATTTGTGTCCCTAAAGTAACTCACTAGAATTATGCAGTGCAGCTCCAGTGCATACAGCATCAGCCACAGAGGGGGATGTCGTGGCCAGTGAGCTTCTTCCCCAGGTGGGTAGTTGACAAAATTCCTCCAGCAGTGATAATACTCTAAGGAAACACAAATCTTGGCTCATTCAACAAGCAGAATGGTAAATTACTTAAAAAGGGCCCCAACCTAGTTTACCATATAGAAAGACTCTAGTCTCTGGTCTAGTTGCTGCTGGACATTAGGCTCATTAAAAAGAATAAAGTAGTTCATTTAAAGAAGGCTGAGAGGCAAGACCAGAGAAAAGAGTTGTTGTTGGTGCTGGTGGTGGTGGTGGTGGTGGTTGATTTTTGAGACAGGGTCTCGCCCTGTCACCTAGGCCAGTGTGCATTAAGTCCAAACATAGCTCACTGCAGCCTTAAACATCTGAGCTCAGGATCTGAGATCTTCCCACCTCAGCCTCCCAAGCAGGTTGGCCTACAAGTTGATGCCACCATGCCTTCTGATGTTTTAATTTTTTTGTAGAGATGGGGCTGATCTTGAATGCCTGGCTTCAAGTGATCCTCATGCCTTGGCCTCCCAGAGTGCTAGGATTACAGGCACGAGCCACCAGGCATAGCCAGGAGTTGTATTTTTGTTATTTTCCTTGTCATGAATTTTAGATCTAATCCTTTCACAGATGATTTTGAACTTTTACTTCTGAGATTTCCACCCTGGGATAACCAGTCTTCTGGCCTAAAAAACAGCTGCTGTCACCACAGACTCTTGTAAACAATGAAGTTTCGTTGTTTACTGTTTTTACCTGATACTGTCATCATCTGAATAGTGACTCCACTGTTAACAAGGTCCCTGAGTCCTTGCCGGTTTTGTTGATCCATGTGCTGAAAAAGCCTCGCTACATAAATCACCAAAGTCACACCAGGGTGCTGACTCAGAAACTCTCTGATAGCCTGGGAGCATTCCCAGCAGGGACTCCAGGACAAGAACCAGGTGATGGAGCAGCTGACGGACAAGTGAAAATGTCTTTCTGACGTAAATTTTTCTATAAAATTAATTTCCACATGATTGGTGGTGTTTTTGCCTGAACTTCTCCAGATCTTCCAGCTCATGCCCCACTTGATTTCGTAGAGCAGACAGGTCTCTTTACAAAGTTCTTTGGGGTCATAGGAGATGTAAAATTCCCATGGTTCAATTCTTCTCCTGAAATATGAAAAGGAGCCCACACTGTTATGTCCTATTAAGAGAGACCTTAGAAATCTTTTTTCTGCTCCCTCTTTTTTTTGGGGGGGGAACGGAGTCTCACACTGTTGCCCAGGTTGGAGTGGAGTGGCACGACCTTGGCTCCCTGCAACCTCCACCTCCAGGGTTCAAGCAGTTCTTTGCTTCAGCCTCCAGAGTAGCTGGGATTACAAGCACCTGCCACCATGTGTGGCTAATTTTTTGTGTTTTTAGTAGAGACAGGCTTTCACCATGTTGGCCAGGCAGGTCTCAAACTCCAGACCTCGTGACTTGCCCACCTCAGCTTCCCAAAATGCTGAGATTACCAGCATGAGCCACTGTGCCTGGCCCCTGCTCCCCTCTTCTATCAGGCTAATCTGAGATGTAACATCTCGGGAAACTTCCTTTTCTAGTCTGTCTCAATGTTATCTGAAGAGGTCTGTTTAAATTATAATTTTTTTGTTTTGTCACAAACATAGTGCACAGGTTTCTTTCCCCAGTCACGTGATTTGGTGACCACTCTCTAATCCCATTATGTTTTAGTCTTGAATTCAGGTGTAAGTGTGTCTTAGTTTCTCTTTTAACATTTCCTTCATTATATTCTAATCTTATGTATTTATTTATTTTGAGACAGGGTCTCCATAAGCTGGCCAGGCTGGTCTCGCCTCCTGGGCTCAAGGTATTCTCCTGCCTCAGCCTCCTGAGTAGCTGAGAGTGCAGGTGTGCCCTACCATGCCTAGCTATATTCTAATTTTCTTTTCTTTTTTTTTCTTTTTTGAGATGGAGTTTCGCTCTTTTTACCAAGGCTGAAGTGTAATGGCATGATCTCGGCTCACCGCAATCTCTGCCTCCTGGGTTCAGGCAATTCTCCTGCCTCAGCTTCCTGAGTAGCAGGGATTACAGGCACATGCCACCATGCCCAGCTAATTTTTTGTATTTTCAGTAGAGATGGGGTTTCACCATGTTGACGAGGATGGTCTCGATCTCTTGACCTCATGATCCACCCACCTTGGCCTCCCAAAGTGCTGGGATTATAGGCGTGAGCCACCACACCCAGCCTACGCTAACTCTTACAAGAAAGAAATTCTAGGGCCAGGCACAGTGGCTCACGCCTATTGGGATAGGGGCAAAAACAGAAGCCTAAGCACTGCCATCTTATAGAGAAGCCACCTGGGCCCTGGGCAGAGGTGTAATTCTCGGAACTCTTATTGTACTGCAGGTCTCAGAGGTGTTAAGGGTAAAAATTTCCACTGCTACCCCCCTCCCCTTGCAATAAACCTCTAACTTTACCTTCTGTACAGACAGCTTGCCTTGCACACCCCTGGATCCCCCTGAACAAGGATGTGGGTTCTTTTGTTTCTTTTTCTTTTCTCAATTTGAGCCTATTCATAAGGCTGTATATTTATTGGTGATATTTTTGACAGTTTTTTTTAAGAGAGAAAGAGAAAGAAAGAAAGACAGAAAGAAAAGGAATGAAGAAGAGGAAAAAAGAGGAAGAAGAGGAGGGAGAGAGAACAGGAGTGTTGTTGCTTAACTGCCCAGGCTAGAATGCAGTCTAAAAATGGGTATTGAAAACCTCCCTTATACCGCCAATTGTGCTTAATAACGGCCAACCAATATTTCATTTAAACCTGTGAGTAGGTGTGATGTGGTACTAAGAGTGCATGTCTTGTGTGTTTAAAGTGGAGAGTTCTATAAATGTTTATTAAGTTTACTTGTTCTGGATCTGAGTTCAAGTCCAGGATATCCTTGTTAATTTTCTGTCTCATTGATCTATCTAATACTGATGTTGAAATCTCCCACTACTACTGTGTGGGGCGTCCAAGTCTCTTTACAAGTCTTATGTATCCTGCATTGGGTGCGTACACATCCAGGATTGTCAGCTCTTCTTGTTGCGTTGATCCTTTTATCATTATGTCCTCTTTTGATCTTTTTTTGCTTTAAAATCCATTCCATCAGAGGCGAGAATTGCAACCTCTACTTTTTTTTTATTTATTTATTTATTTTGCTCTCCATTTGGTTGGCAAACCTTTCTCCATCCCTTTGCTTTGACTCTTTATGTATCCTTGCACGTAAGATGGGTCTGGATGCAGCATACCGATGGGTTTTGGCTGTATCTTTTGATTGGGGGATTTAGTCAATTTAAATTTAAGATTATTGCCATTTGATGTTAGCTGGCTATTTTGCCCATTAGTTGATATAAATTCTTCATTATGTTGATACTCTTTACTTTTTGGTATATTTTTATTGTAAGGTAAGGATGGTAAGGATGTGGTTTTGCAGCTTAAATGCCTTGCTCCCCCTGAGCTCGGGGCCATGGGTTGGAAAGACATGAGTCCTCCATGGCCACCGGCAATAAAGACCCCGCAATTTGGCATACTTTTGTCTTGGTGTTGAATTTTCACTCGCTCCGGTGCAACACTGTAATCCCAGCACTTTGGAAGGCCGAGGTGGGTGAATCACGAGGTCAAGAGATCGAGACCATTCTGGCCAACATGGTGAAACCCCATCTCTACTAAAAATATAAAAATTAGCTGGGTGTGGTGATGCACGCCTGTAGTCCCAGCTACTCGGGAGGCTGAGGCAGGAGAATTACCTGAACCCAGGAGGCGGAGGTTGCGGTGAGCCGAGATCGAGCCACTGCCCTCCAGCCTGGGTAACAAGAGCAAAACTCCATCTCAAAAAAAAAAAAGAAAGAAAGAAAAAAAGAAATTCTAGCTCTTTGCCATCGTTTCTCCTCCCTTGGAGCCGCCGCCATGAAGGTCGAGCTGTGCGGTTTCAGCGGGTACAAGATCTACCCCGGACATGGGAGGCGCTATGCCGACAGGAAGGTTTTCCAGTTTCTTAATGCAAAATGCGAGTCAGCGTTGCTTTCCAAGAGGAATCCTCGGCAGATAAACTGGACTGTCCTCTACAAAAGAAAGCACAAAAAGGGACAGTCGGAAGAAATTCAAAAGAAAAGAACATGCCGAGCAGTCAAATTCCAGAGGGCCATTACTGGTGCATCTCTTGCTGATATAATGGCCAAGAGGAATCAGAAACCTGAAGTTAGAAAGGCTCAACGAGAACAAGCTATCAGGGCTGCCAAGGAAGCAAAAGAGGCTAAGCAAGCATCTAAAAAAACTGCAATGGCTGCTGCTAAGGCACCTACAAAAGCAGAACCTAAACAAAAGATTGCGAAGCCTGTGAAAGTTTCAGCTCCCTGAGTTGGTGGAAAACGCTAAACTGGTAAATGAGATTTTTAAATAAAGATTGGATTATAAGTCTTAAAAAGAAAGAAATTCTAATTGCTCTCAGTGATATCTTTAGATTTAACACTCTATGTCTGAAAGCCATGACTCAAGGGAGACTCAGAATTGAGCTGCAGACTCTTCTTTGCAGTATGGTTGAGTCACGAGCATATTACATTCTAATAGTTCCCACTCATCCCTAAAGTGTCACGTTCATTTATTACATAGACCAATCCTTTCACCTATCATGAGATAGTATTCCTTGGCATGACTTTCCTGTAATATGTCTGAAAAATGGGCAGACAGTATAAAATGAGGATGAACTTAAAGTGACAAATGAGTTTCCCAGGTATTTCACTAATGGCTATAAAAGCACACGATTAAAAAAGAGAAGAGAGCCAGGTGCGGTGGCTCATGCCTGTAATCCCAGCACTTTGGGAGGCCGAGGAGGGTGGAACACGAGGTCAAGAGATCGAGACCATCCTGGTCAACATGGTAAAACCCCGTCTCTACTAAAAATACAAAAAATTAGCTGGGAAAGTGGCGCGTGCCTGTAATCCTAGCTACTCAGGAGGCTGAGGCAGGAGAATTGCCTGAACCCAGGAGGCGGAGGTTGGGGTGAGTCGAGATTGCCCCATTGCACTCCAGCCTGGGTAACAAGAGCGAAACTCCATCCAAAAAAAAAAAAAAAGAGAAATTGTAAGACAGTAACAGACAAGCAAGCTAGAGAGTCATTTATTTAAAGAGATCAAAAGACATAAGAGCAAAGATATAAAAAATCATAGAAAATGGCATTGGAAAAGGCAAAAAGGAAAGAATAGGAAAATGACAAAAGAGAAAAGGAATAATATCGGAAGCTATATCCACAGTTCCTTTTTTTTTTTTTTTTTTTTTTTTTTTACGAGACAGGGTCTTAGTCCGTCAGCCCGGCTGGAGTGCAGTGGTGCAATCATAGTTCACTGCAGGCTTGACCTTCTGGGCTCAAGAGATCCTCCCGCTCCCGCTCCCGCTTCAGCCTCCTGAGTGGCTGGGACTATAGGCGCATGTGCCACCATGCACAGCTCTTAAATACCCATTTATCCTTGATTGAATCAAATGAGTACTGTGATGGTATTATTCTTACCTCAGAGTGGGATCGCCAGTGGAAGGACCTGTTGACCAAGACATGATTATGTCAAATAACACTCAAACACCGAATGAGCTGCTCAGAAAAGTGTTCTATCATTCCAAACCTGCAAATCATCTCAGAAAATGGAATTTGATGATTCTCTCATAGATTAATTGTATTGGACCAGTTCATTATACCCAAGAAAAGCAAGATTTTTAAGGGCTCTATCAAAATCGATTTTCCCAGATGCCCAATCCCAAACAAGGTAATCCTCCCTAAGGCGTCAACAAAAATGATTAAGTGCAATGGTAAAGTCACTTCGTAAAAGCTCTTAGAAGACACACATGGTGACTAAGGCCTGTAATCCTAGAACTTTGGGAGGCTGAGGCAGGTGGATCACCTGAGGTCAGAAGTTCAAGACCAGCCTGGCCAACTTATCGAAACTCATCTCTACTAAAAATACAAAAATTAGCCAGGTGTGATCACAGGCACCTATAATCCCAGCTACTCAGGAGGCTGAGGCAGGAGACTTGCTTGAATCCAGGGGACAGATGTTAAGTGAGCCAAGATCTCGCCATTGCACTCCAGCCTGGGCTAAAGAGCGAAACACTGTCTCAAAAAAATAAATAAATAAAAATAAAATAAAGGTTCCTAGGTGTAATCTCTATGTGACCTCAGTACCCTATTCTGCATCAAAGTCATTATCATGCTCTACCATGATTGCCTATTTACATGCCTTAATAACACTGAACTGTAAATTATGTGAGATACGGATTTTGTACATTTTGTTCCAAACCCTATCACACTGCCTGAAACATGTTAGTTAGCAATAGATTTGAATAAATTACTGAGTAAATGATTAAATGAACTTCACTACTACCCACTATAAACATATTTTCCCCTTCCTTCTTTTCCTCCTTCCTTCCTTCTTTCTTTTTTCTTCTTTCCTTCCTTTCTTTCATATTTCCTTTACTCCTTCCTTCCTTAATCCTTTTCTTTTTATTTTTTTTTTGAGATGAAGTCTTGCCCTGTTGCCAGGCTGGAGTGCAGTGGTGCAATCTTGGCTCACTGCAATCTCCGCCACCCGGGTTCAAGCGATTTCCCTGCCTCAGCCTCCTGAGTAGCTGGAACTACAGGTGCCCACCACCATGCCCAGCTATTTTTTTTTTTTTTTTTATTTTAGTAGAAACGGGGTTTCACCACATTGGTCAGTGTGGTCTTGATCTCCTGATCTGCCTCATGATCCACCCAAAGTGGATCCTCCCAAAGTGCTGGGATTAGAGGCGCGAGCCACCACACCCAGCCCTTTCTTTTTTTAAATAGAGAAAGGGTCACACTCTGTTGCCCAGGCGGGAGTGTAGTGGTACAGTCATGGCTGTCTGCAGCCTTGAACTCCTGGGCTCCAGTGATCCTCCCACTCAGCCTCCAGAGTAGCTAAGACTGTAGGCACAACACCTCACCTGGCAAATTTGTATTTTTACTTTTATTTTTATTTTTGTAGAGACAGGAGTCTCACTACGTTGCTCAGACTAGTTTCAAACTCCTAACCTCAAGAGATTCTCCCACCTTGGCTTCCCAAAGTGTTGGGATTACAGGTGTGAGTCACCAGGCCTAGCCCCCTTCTTTGTTTTTCTACCTTATTTAACTTCTCGTTTTTACTTATGCCTTAGACCTTATAATGGAATCCAATAGCAGTAGCATCTTTGTACACTTCACAACACATTTAACCATTAAAATCTTCTGTCAGCTGTGCATGGTGGTTCACGCTGGTAGTCCTAGCACTTTGGGAGGCCAAGGCAGGTAGATCACCTGAGGTCAGGTGTTCAAGACCAGCCTGACTAACATGGTGAAATCCCGTCTCTACTAAAAATACAAAAATTAGCTGTGCATGGTGGCAGGTGCCTGTAATCCCAGGTACTCGGGAGGCTGAGGCAGGAGAATCACTTGAACCTGGGAGGCAGAGGTTGCAGTGAACCAAGATCAAGTGAACCTGGGCAACAGAGCAAGACTCCATCTCAAAATAAAATATATATTCATAGTCGACTAACTCAAATATAATAAAACTCTAGTGGAACAAACCCAGAACCTATAGTCTTTTTTTTTTTGAGACAAAGTTTCACTGTTGTTACCCAGATTGGAGTGCAACGGCACAATCTCGGCTCACCGCAACCTCCGCCTCCTGGGTTCAGGCAATTCTCCTGCCTCAGCCTCCCGAGTAGCTAAGACTATAGACGCACACCACCATGCCTACCTAATTTTTGTATTTTTAGTAGAGACGGGGTTTCACCTTGTTGACCAGAATGGTCTCAATCTTTTTTTTTTTTTTTTTTTTGAGAAGGAGTTCCACTCTTGTTACCCAGGCTGGAGTGCAATGGCGCGATCTAGGCTCACCGCAACCTCTGCCTCCTGGGTTCAGGCAATTCTCCTACCTCAGCCTCCCAAGTAGCTGGGATTACAGGCATGCGCCACCATGCCCAGCTAATTTTTTGTATTTTTAGTAGAGACGGGGTTTCACCTTGTTGACCAGGATGGTCTGGAGCTCTTGACCTCGTGATCCACCCTCCTTGGCCTCCCAAAGTGCTGGGATTATAGGCGTGAGCCACCATACCCGGCCAAGAACCTATAGTCTTAAGAAATGGTAATTCTATCAACATATCTGATGCCAAAATTATTTTATTTATTTATTTATTTTTTTTTTTTTTGAGACAATGATTCCCTCTCATCACCCAGGTTGGAGTGCAATGGTATGACCTTACTGCAACCTCTGCTTCCCGGTCTCAAGCCTCCCAATTAGCCAGGACTACAGGCGCATGCCACTGTGCCCAGATAATTTTTGTATTTTTTGTATAGATGGCGTTGCCCAGGTTGGTCTTGAACTCCTGGGCTCAAGTGAACCCCATGCCTCGGCCTCCCAAAATGCTGGCTTTACAGGCATGAGCCACCACACCCAGCCTGATGCCAAAGTTCTTTTCACATACCAGATGGTCACCTAGTGAAAGAGTAAACCCTAAAGGCTTAATTTTTACCAAATCAACAATTTGAGAAGTTAAATTATGAAGAACAAAGCTGACAGTAAACTATTATGTTTTGTTTTGTTTTGTTTTGTTTTGTTTAAGATGGAGTCTCGCTCTCTAGCCCAGGCTGGAATGCAGTGGCGCAATCTCAGCTCACTGCAACCTCCAGGCCCCGGGTCCCAGTTCAAGCAATTCTCCTACCTCAGCCTCCCAAGTAGCTGGCATTACAGGCACGAGCCACTATGCTCAGCTAATTTTTGTATTTTTTAGTAGAGATCGGGTTTCACCATTTTGGCCAGTCTGGTCTTAAACTCCTGACCTCGTGATCCACCTGTCTCAGCCTCCCAAAGTGCTGGGATTACAGGTGTGAGCCACTGTGCCCAGCACACCTGGCTAATTTTTGTATTTTTAGTAAAGAAGGGGTTTCATCATCTTGGCGAGGCTGGTCTCAAACTCCTGACCTCATGATCCAACTGCCTCAGCTTCTCAAAGTGCTGGGATTACAGGCATAAGCCGCTGTGCCCAGCTGAAATTAGGTTTTTATTTCAGGTTTGATAAATGATTAAACAGGTGTTGGATTAATAGGTGTTGGTCCTTGGTTACAAGTGTATTATTTTCCAGACTCAGGCTGCATTTTGAGAAGGGTGGTACAGGAATTAAAGAGTAAAGATCTTGATTTATGGCTCGATTACTCAACAGAAATATCATAGTGCCAGATGATCTCAGAGTCCGTGGCATGACGGAAAAAGGAAGTCTATGAGACCTCACTATAAGAAGCTCATGACAATAAAATTGAGTCTGAGAACTCTCCTCAAGCTAATATTTTTAAATAATAATCACTCTGCACATATTGATTGAAAATTTAGTCTCGGCATGATGGCTCACACCTGTAATCCTAGCACTTTGGGAGGCCGAGGTGGGTGGATCACGAGGTCAGGAGTTTGAGACCAGCCTGGCCAATATGGTGAAACCCCATTTATACTTCATATATATATATATATATAATTAGCCAGACATGGTGGTGCATGCCTGTAGTCCCAGCTACTCGGGAGGCTGAGGCAGGAGAGTTGCTTGAAGCAGGGAGGCGGAGGTTGCAGTGAGCCGAGATCACGCCACTGCACTCCAGCCTGGGTGACAGAGCAAAACTCCATCTCAAAATAAAAAAATAAAAAATAATAAAAAGTAAATTTTTTAAAAAAGAAGAAAGACTCGGCCGGGCGCGGTGGCTCACGTATATAATCCCAGCATTTTGGGAGGCTGAGACAGGTGGATCACAAGGTCAAGAGATCGAGATCATCCTGGTCAACATGGTGAGACCCCGTCTCTACTAAAAATATAAAAATTAGCTGGGCATGGTGGCACATGCCTGTAGTCCCAGCTACTCAGGCTGAGGCAGGAGAATTGCTTAAACCCAGGAGACAGAAGTTGCGGCAAGCTAAGATCTCGCCATTGTACTCTAGCAACTGGGTAAAAAGAGGGAAACTTCGTCTCAAAAAAAAAAAAAAAAGAAAGGACTCTTGGGCATGGCACGATTTTTTTGTAGATAGAGAGTGGTTCTAGCTGGGGAGATATCTAGGAAATAGGACAGTCAGGAAACACTAGTCCAAGTATGAGATGAAGAACAAATCTCTTTCTATTAAAGAAGGAATGGGGAATTTGAGCACTGGGATGAAGGAGGAAGCGGGTGGCTGGCATGCTGGAATGAGCACTTAGACCTTAGTGCAAATTGGGGCCCTGGAACCAGTAATCCACCCCAAGGGAGCCTTACAAAAACAGAGGCCATGTTACAGGAAAAGGGCATATGTGGGTAAGGAGAGGGGGAAAAAAAAGGCATATTGATGACAGGAAGACTCTTTCTCTGAAAGAGCTGAAGCGGCAGTGAGAAGTTCAGAAAGGGCCAGTAAGATACATGTTGTGTCTACACTGATCAATTTTACTCCTGGGATGCAAGGGCAAGGATACCAGACACATGGTCAGGGATACTCTGAGGTACAGAACACACTGCCTTTATAAGAAGAGTCACGTAGCAGCTCCCAGAGCTCCTAGAGCTCCAACCCTCGGCTTGGCGGCTGAAGACCGTTGCTGCCCACGCATCTCAGAAGCCCCCTGGACCATCACAGACGCCGAGCTTCGGGTAACTCTTATGGTGGAAGGTAAGTCCATCCCCTTCTTAATCAGCACGGAGGCACCCACCCCACACTGCCTTCTTTTCAAGGACCAGTTGCCGGAATTGACAGCAAGGCCTCCAGGCCTCTCAAAACTCCCCAAGTCTGGTGTCAATTAGCCCAGCACTCCTTTCCACGTTCTTTCCTAATCATCCCCACTTGTCCAGTTCCCCTGTTAGGCTGAGATATCCCAGCAAAATCGTCTGCCTCCTTAACTATTCCTGGGCCACAGCCACACCTCATTGCTGCCCTCCTCCCTGAACCCATATCTCCCTCAATAGCCCCCTTTATGTCCCCCTTTATGTTGCTAGAAAAATCACCCTTAAGCCAAGTAAGTAACCCTTCCCAGCTCAAATATATTAACTGCAGCTACAGGCTTATCAAGCAACACACACACACACATTCAAAGTAAGTCATAAAACTGTACTTAAAGTTAGTAAAAGAAGAGCAAATCTAGTACAACTCCCCCCTCCCTTAGAGATAAGGAAGTTAATGAAAGCACCCAGGCATATATCTCTACCCACACATATTTCTGCTATCCTTGTTTTGTTTTGTTTTTGAGACAGAGTCTCATGCTGTCACCCAAGCTGGAGTGCAGTGGCATGATCTCAGCTTACTGCAACCTCCACTTCGTGGGTTCAAGCAATTATCCTGTTTCAGCCTCCCAAGTAGCTAGGACTACAGGCACCCACAACCATGCCCAGCTAGTTTTTATATTTTTAGTAGGGACGGGTTTTCAACATATTGGCTAGGCTGGTCTCAAACTCCTGACCTTGTGATCCTCCCGCCTCAGCCTCCCAAAGTGCTGGGATTACAGGTGTGTGCCACTGTGCTTGGCCTCTGCTATCCTTGTTTTTCTCTACCCCAGCTGCAAGGTCATGAGACCAAGGTAAACCATGTTTTACATGAAAAAAAAATGTTTTTCAAGATTGCAAAACTGTCACAAAGTAAAATTAACTGCCTTTGTCTCAAAACTTGTTCCCTGCCTGGTTTTCCCCACCCTAAAATGTGTTAAAAACATGTAATTCTTGGTTTGGGGCCACGGCCATTTAAAAACGTTAGTCTAACTATGAGCTGGTGCACCTAATAAAATTTTCTTGAAGCCTGAAAAGTCTCTCTGTCCTTTTAAATCCTGCTACAAAACAAACACTGGTTTAATGACATTTGATTAAAGTCACTTGGACAAGTAAATAATAATGATAAATTATCTTATTTAAGATTAATATATTAATAATAGGGAAGTTGGAAAACACCCACAGATGGAAGAATCAGGACACACACACCCGCGCACACACACACACCTGCACACGCGCACGCACACACGCTTCTTGCCTTGTTCGAGAATACTGGCCCCCGGATCCGTTTTACCTCTCTCAGAAGTCATGGTGCTCTGTCTCTGGACTGCTTCCTCTGGAGTCATAAGTTGTGCTGATTGCTCCTGGACCTTGTTTCTTCAGGTGTGCCCACTGCCACCTGCTTGGGCAGAGGATGACTCATTCCTGACTCCTTCCTCATTCTCAGGCAATTACTGGGAATCTAGGCTGTCTGTACAAACAGGAGGCTAAGACGGACGTTATCCTGGGGATTTACATCTTCAGTGATGAGAAAGCCTATTATGCCAATGACATGAATTTGGTAGAGTAGATCACTGGGATTACCAAACTCCAAAGTTCTTCTCCAATGACATCTGAATTTAGTAACCTTTCTCTTTCTATTTATTTTATTTTATTTTTTTAGTAGAGATGGAGTTTCATCATGGTGGTCAGGCTGGTCTCAAACTCCTGACCTCAGATGATCTGCCCGCCTCAGCCTCCCAAAGTGCTGGGATTACAGACGTGAGCCACAGCACCCGGCCTCCTTTCTCTTTCTTCAAATAAAGACTAAGGTAAGATGGATCCATCATCCTTTATATATTTTTTTGTTTTATTTTTATTTATTTTTCATTATCCCGTGCTCTGAATCAAGGATGCATCATTCTTTATTGGAGAAAGAAGAGGAAGAAGAAAAGTTAAGAGAGATTTCACCTGTAACTATAGCTTGAAAGTTTTTATGTTATCTGGTGAACACACTGTGGCCTTGGCTTTCAGCTATTATTCTCCTATTTCCAACTTCCTCTCATTTTGCTCTTTGTCCCACAACCCTGTTGGAGAGGGGAGGGGCACTATTCGATACAAAATGAGAAGGACCTTTGCCTCTGAGTCAAGTAATTTGTGTATAGGTCTTTGGTGCTCTCTTCATCCTTGAAGCTAAGATTAGCTAAGGGTGTGGCCAAGTCCACTGCTGCTATTTTTTTTTTTAGACAGAGTTTCGCTTTGGTCATGCGAGCTGGAGTACAATGGTGCAATCTCGGCTCACTGCAACCTCCATCTCCCAGGTTCAAGTGATTCTCCTGCCTCAGCCTCCCGAGTAGCTTCGATTACAGGCACCTGCTACCATGCCCAGCTAATTTTTATATTTTTAGTAGAGAATTTTTATGTATTTGCCAAGCTGGTCTCAAACTCCGACCGAGGGTGATCCACCTTCCTCGGCCTCCCAAAGTGCTAGGATTACAGGCCCATGAGCTACTAGGCCCGGCCACTTCTGCTTTTTTATCCCCCTTGAAAAAATAAATGCGGTATTTTCCTATGCCATTGCTCTCTGTTGCCTGAACCCTGGGTCAAGTTCAAGCCAAAAGTTCCTTTAGTCTCCTAGAATTGAGGTCACTTTCTCAAGGCCTAAGTCTCCCTCCACTGTCTAAAAACTTGAGCCTCTGAACTATGAATTTTAAGGCCCCATGAACCTGGAAACTGAATTCTACATACGAGACTTTACTTAGTTATGCAAGTCGACCTGGAGCCTCCATGAGATAAAGCAGGCGTTTGGACTCGGGCAGACCAGTGTTTTGAAGAAGGGGCAGAAATCTCACATCATCAATAGAGGCCCTTCAGAGACCAAGTTTTTCCAAGTTAGGCAAAAGTAGAATAATGGTAAAGTAAAGGTAGGATAGCCCAGGTGCGGTGGTTCTCACCTGTAATCCCAGCACTTTGGGAGGCAGAGGCAGGCAGATCACCTGAGGTCAGGAGTTCAAGACCAGCAAGGCCAAGATGGCAAAACCCAATCTCTACTAAAAATACAAAAATTAGCCAGGCGTGTTGGCAGGTGCCTATAATCCCAGCTACTCAAGAGACTGAGGCATGAAAATTGCTAGAACCCGGGAGGCAGAGGTTGCTGTGAACTGAGATCCCACCATCGCACGGCAGCTTGGAAGACAGAGTGAGACTCTGTCTCAAAAAAAAAAAGATAGGATAATAGACCCCAGCGATATCCATGTCCTGATCCCTGGAATCTGTTAAATATGTGAACTTACATGCCAAAAGGGCCTTTCTCATTAATTAAGGATCTTGAGATGGGACAACAATCCTGGATTATCCAGATGGGCACAGTCTGATCACAGGGTCCTTACAAGAGGGATGTAGAAGAGTCAAAAGTCAGAATGAGAAAGGGAGCTATGAGGATGGGAGCAGAGTTCTGCTTGCTGGCTCAAAGCAGGCCACGATTCAAGGAATGAGGAAAGCCTGTAGAAGCTGGAAAACTCAAGGAATGGATTCTCTCCCAGAGCCTCCAGAAGAAATGCTACCCTGATAAAATCTTGATGTCAGCTCGGTGAGACCCATTTTGTACTTCTGTCCTCCAGAACTGTAAGACAATGTGCGTCGTTTTATACCGTTAAGTGTGTGGCAATGTTTTAAAGCAGCAATAGGAAAGTGACATGGTAGGACATGCTCACAGCAAGTAAACATGCAGTAGCCAAGAGGATGCATAACTTGGGTTTGTTTTCTACTAGCAGGACTATGGAGCGCTTCATCCATGTTCTGCTTTGTTTAAGAAACATTAGAGGTTTCCACCTGATTCTGATAAGCGGGGAAAAAAAGAAAACTTCGCAGTATGACATGTGCTAGACTATCTGTGCAACCCCCTTGTAGACCCCTGCCCGGTACCCGATCCCAAGTAACAGCTCGAGAGTTGGAAGCCGAGTTCAGGTTTATTGGGACCAGCGGGGAGGCCAGGAAAGGAAGGAGATCGGGGCTGGCTGCGACTGCGCAGCTGGGGTAGGAGGATTTTATAGGGGGGCAGACGGGGCGTGGACACAGGGCTGGCGGGGTGTCGTGGGAGCTTAGGATAGGCTGTCCGTCTCTGGGTCTCTGGGCAGACTGCTGAGGTAGCTCAGAGGGTTGTGTGTCTGGTCAGGATAGGCTGAGGCTTGGCGGGCTTCTCTGCTGCGATGATTGGCTGCTTGCTGTTGCCGGGCAGAACAGAGCAGCACCTGAGGGTTTTCTTCCGGGTGGCGGGAAGCCTGGGGGGCGGAGGGTGGCAGGACTTTCTACCGAACATTTGCTTGGGATTGGGTACCGGGCAGGGGTCTACAAGGGGGTCGCACACTATCATGTTGTTAATTATTTGTAAGTGAAAGGCCGGGCGCGGTGGCTCAAGCCTGTAATCCCAGCACTTTGGGAGGCCGAGGCGGGCTGATCACAAGGTCAAGAGATCGAGACCATCCTGGCCAACATGGTGAAACCCTGTCTCTACTAAAAATACAAAAAATTAGCTGGGCATGGTGGCGCGTGCCTGTAATCCCAGCTACTCAGGAGGCTGAGGCAGGAGAATTGCCTGAACCTAGGAGGCAGAGGTTGCAGTGAGCCGAGATCGCGCCATTGCACTCCAGCCTGGGTAACAAGAGCGAAACTCCGTCTCAAAAAAAAAAAAATGAAATCAGGCATTGTGTACACTTTTGTGCGTTCTGCTTAGCTTTTCTTTCTGTTTTTTGGAGGGTTTGTTGTTGTTGTTGTTGTTGTTGTTTTGGTTTTTTGGTTTGTTTGTTTTTTTTTTGAGATTGCGTTTCACTCTTGTTACCCAGGCTGGAGTGCAATCGCACTATCTCGGCTCACCGCAACCTCTGCCTCCCGGGCTCAGGCAATTCTCCTACCTCAGCATCCTGAGTAGCTGGGATTACAGGCATGCGCCACCATGCCCGGCTAATTTTTTGTATTTTTAGTAGAGACAGGGTTTCACCATGTTGGCCAGGATGGTCTCGATCTCTTGACCTTGTGATCAGCCCGCCTCGGCCTCCCAAAGTGCTGGGATTACAGGTTTGAGGCAGTGCACCCGGCCAAAAACAGTTTTTTAAAAAAGAGTTAAATATAGGTTTACGTATTTGATCCAGCAATTCCACTCTTAGGCACTTACCCAAGAGGAAGAGAAAGAAACATATGTTTATGTAAAGTCTTTTATGCTTACTGATGGCCCCTGGACGCCATGTTAACCTCTGTGACCTGCACAGACACTCCAGATGAGTTCCTGGAAAATCTAAAGTAACTGGAAGACCATGAAAAGAGGAAGAAATGCTCAACCCCTGCAGCGCCTGCTTAACTTTGACACCGTCTCTGTTGTTTCTTATTCCAGCCTTGATTGACAAGGCCATTGGACTTTGTAACCGACCTTGGCCAATCTGTGACTCCACACCCTATGGTCCCCTTCCAGCTTACAAAAATTTGCCCTAAAGTTGCTTCTGTAATTTTTCACTGTCTACCCCAAACCCATAAAATCAACTCCTATCCTTCTGCCCTCCGCTGACACCCTTTTTGTCCTTAGCCCGCCTGCACCTGGGTGAATAAACACTCATGTTGCTCATGCAAAGCCTGTTGGGGTGTCTCTTCATCCAGCACGTGCATTTTAACAGTTTACACAAATAATTGTACACAAACATTCACAGAAGCTTTATTCATAAAACCCGAAAAAAGTACATCACATTGACAGAAGAATAAACAAATTGTAGCATACCTATGTAATGGAATAATATTCACCAATGAAAATTAGCCACCAATATACCTAATAATGTAGACCAATTTTATAGAAAACCTGAGCAACAGCTGGCCAACAAGCTGAAACCCTGTCTCTACTAAAAATACAAAACATTACCTGGGCATGGTGGCAGGTGCCTGTAATCCCAGCTACTGGGGAGACTGAGGGAGGAGACTCACTTGAACTTGGAAGGCGGAGGTTGCAGTAAGCCAAGATTGCGCCATGGGACTCCAGCCTGGGTGACACAGTGAGACCCTGTCTCAAAAAAAATAAAAAATAAACCGGCTGGGCGCAGTGGCTCACGCCTATAATCCCAGCACTTTGGGAGGCTGAGGTGGGTGGATCACGAGGTCAAGAGATCGAGACCATCCTGGTCAACATGGTGAAACCCCGTGTCTACTAAAAATACAAAAATTAGCTGGGCGTGGTGGCGTGCGCTTATAATCCCAGCTACTCGGGAGGCTGAGGCAGGAGAATTGCTTGAACCCGGGAGGCAGAGGTTGCAGTGAGCCGAGATTGTGCCACTGTACTCCAGCCTGGCACCTGGCGACAGAGTGAGACTCTGTCTCAAAATATATATATGTATATTTTATGGCCAGTCGAGATGGCTCAAGCCTGTAATCCCAGCACTTTGGGAGGTCGAGATGGGCAGATCACAAGGTCAGGAGTTTGAGACCAGCCTGGCTAACATGGTGAAATCCTATCTCTACTAAAAGTACAAAAATTA